ATTCCTTGGTGAGACCATGAGGTGAAGGCAGAGAGTGTCCCCTACCCCCTGAACATCCTCTTCCAGGGAGAAGCAGGTTGGACTGTGTACAGGGCCCGCTGGTAGCCTCTGATTTCCCCAACCATCAAATCTGGGGCTCCGGCGTACCTTCCCTGGTGACATCTTAGTTTGGGACTGTCCTGAGTGAAGTCAGGGTGGTACCGTAGGAAATACCAACCTGTCCTCCAGGGTGACCTTGGGAGCATCCCTTGCTATCCCCTAATCTGGTCTTATATTGGGGAGGGTCTGTTGATATGATTGTTGCTCTGCTTCATTCAAAGGGAGACATGAGCAGCACCTTGACCTTCACCCTAAATCTCTCCTTTTACTAAAGAGAACCTGGATCAATGGCCAATTCTAGGCTTGGGGAAGGAAAGGTACCGATGAGCTAGAACATGTCGCTACTCAGAAAGCAGGATCCATTGATGTCCCCTGGGGTCAGGTAAGGGCACCCAGAAGCCATCTGAGGAGGCTTCCAGTGGACAAATGCCCATCATTTGCAGCCACAGTGTCATCATCACTGGAGGATAACTGCAGTGTGTTCGCACAATACATACGTTCGCATCCTAGAGTTCACCATGGCACTCAACAGTAATTATTCACCATAGGAGGACGGCAGGGACCAGATCATCATTCTGTAAAGCGGTGGACAAAAGGGAAGTGTTTGCATTTCTCTACTTTTACTAGATTATGAAACATACTATGGGGTGAAGAAAGAGCATCTGAAGGCACACCCTTCACGGAAGCGCTGCAGCCCTTGCAGGAGGAGGACACAACTGAAATATCCCATGATGCATTCCTTTATAGCTGCAATTTTGCTGAAGTACTACCTGGACCTCGTCAAGCCTCTGATACCGGAACTTCCTGCAGGAACACGAGTCGGAGAGACCCGCCCTGCTACAGCTCAGGGAAGCAGGGGGCCCGCATCCAGATTTAGGGAGGATGCCAGGACCAGCACGTGAGCCCCTGCATCCACTCCCTTGCAAGGAAAAGCTGATGCGATTTGGGAGATACTTACAGAGCCCACATCTACCAATCACAATGTCAAACTTTCTTCAGTCCTCATATATAAAGAAAATTAAAACCTCAAAATAACAG